CTCCCTTACCCAACTCTGGTTGTAATGGCCAAGGTTGATTTGCGAAAATCAATTGCCTTATCCCTTTTTCCAATGTTTTGAGTAAAACATTGGTGGCGACTCCAAGAACCCTTCTTTTTGCGAAAACCACTAATCCATGGAGGGTCCCGCTTGGGATTAACATGGATTGGTGAATCATTTAATAAAATTGTTAGTTCGATGAGGTCTCAGTTTGAGAATAAGTCGTTCTAACAATCCATCATTTTTCAAACCTTTAAAAAGAGTCCAACCATCATCGCGAATGCCAAGGTCCGTTTCGGCGGGTGGCGACAACCCCATTGTTTTCAAAAAGGAAAACATGGGGAAGATGCCAGTAAGCTACAACATCTCTGACCCTACAATAGCCTTGAAGGTCAAGAAGGATATCGGAGGAGAACAACCTATGGCGCGCTCAAGCAAGAAGTGCCAACCCTCTCCGTCTCCCAAGGTAGCTGAACCTTTGGCTGATGCTGCACCAACAACTAAGAAGAGAATGATCCTCCAATCCAGATTAGATGAAGAGTATACATCTGATATAGAGCATAGCCAACCCATCGGGGAGGCATTGAAAAGAAAAGCTCATCTACCTCCTCTAGCTCCATCTCACCCTAAGAAGAAGAAGGTCATAAGGTTAGCACAAAAGGTAGTTGCTGAACTGGAGCGGTCAACATGCGCTCTTCCACCTGAGGCTGAAAAGGCAGTTGCTGAAACTGAGGTTGAAGTCATCGTCCCTTCAACTCAATCTGAAGTTTCTATGGACACTCATTCTCCTCTTATCACTCACTGTACATTTTTCCTCTGTAAGTAATATTCCTATGACTCCTTTCTCTCTATCATTCTAGAACGTTATCTAAATTTCAATTTCCTTACAGGTCACTCTTGTAAATACTCTTACCCTAAGGAAAAGAAAAACGGCAATCAGAGCCGATTGTTTGATCGTGCCTCCAAGGCCTCTTCCTTCATTTTCAACCAAGCAATCCATAAATCTAATAATTCTAAAAGGGATGCACCCAAAGATGGATTTATACTCCCTCATTTTTCCTGGTGCAGCAAACCCAGACAGAAAAATGGAATTACTTCAAAGTGTCCATCTCACTACAAACAGGGACGTAATGAAGAGGAACAAGGTCGATCTACATCCAAATCCACGACCATACATCATGGACAGAGCAATAAGTATGCTTTTTGGACTATACCTCATCACCTAGGTTGGGCGTTATGTATTGCAGAGGCCCACTAAACATGCCATGGGGTATTACAAGCCTGTGTACTCTTAGCTTGAAGAAGGCTCCGCCATACTAGATGTGATGGAGGACCATCCTTAGAGCTTCATGTGGTACCCATCAATAGGTCCATGGCTAGGAGTTTGGAAGAGGATAGGGGAGATAACACCCCTAGAGACATGCTTATTGTGGTTAAAGGATATTAATCATTCTCCTTAGCCTTGTTATCATAGAATTTATTTTATTCCTATTTTGCCCTTGTCTTTAATTTTTCCATTTTACCCTTGTATCTTGGGTATCTTAGACATAGGATTTATTTTACTTGTATTTCCAATTTTACCCTTGTATTTTGGGGTATCTTAGTCATAGGATTTATTTTTACTTGTATTTCCCATTTTACCCTTGTATTATGGGGTACCTTAGATTATAGGATTTTATTTTATAGCTAGGGTATTTTATTAGGGTTAAGAAAAAGGCCTAGATGTATATTTTTGGTAGCATTAGATTTTTTTTTGGACTTGGTAAGGCTTAGGCCCAAGTGGAGGGCACCTAGGATGCATGGTCTTATCATGAACCTAGATGTAACTTAACCAAACCCAACGATTCCATCCTTGGCCACCAAGTAGCATCTAGGGTTAATTTAGGTTTCATTTGAAGTGCATTTGGCTTGCATTTTTCGGCCAAGCAATCTCAAATGCAACCCTAAATGCTTCCTCCCTTCTATAAATACCCTAGGCTATGCATCTTGTAAAAACTTTGAATATTGAATATAAGGAAAGCCTTTGTGCCTTTATATCATCCTTAGTCTCCCTTGGCTAAATTCGACCACACCATTCCTGATGGAGGACCATCCAAGGAAGAGGAATACATGAAGGCCATTGGACCTTTGACAAGGTCCATGGTAAGGAAGCTAGAAGAGACATCTAAGGAGGAGGTGCTTCTTAGACCCTTGCTCACCATGAGCATTGTGTACTTTTCTCCTTAGTAGTATCTTGAGTAGTCCCATTGTATATATTGTATATAGTAGACTTTGTATAGGATTGTTTTGCCTTTGTATTTTGGAGGCACCTTTTTCTTTTTAGAAGTAGGCATAGGAGTGGCATTAGTAGACTAAAGTGTGCTCCTAGCATTTTAGCCAAATGTGGTCTTAGGATAAAGGTTTTACATATTGGACTCATTTAACTCCTAATTTTTCATAGATTTGATTTAGCTAGGTTCCATTCACATTGAATGAACCTAACTAAACCAAATGAACCATTTTCAAACCGGGTGGAGTTAAATGAAACCAATCAAAACCGTCCACACCTTTGTGTTCACACCTTGTGTTCACATTGGTGCACACTTGGCCAAATGCTTGGACCTCTTTTCTCTCCTACACAAGGGCGGTTTAGGAAGGCTCAACCATGGTTCTTAGTGAACCATGGTCTAGCCTTTTCTTGCTCCCTAAGTTGGACGGACCCAACCATGGTTCCTAGTGAACCATGATCTAGTCTAGCTTAACCCCTAGGTG